ATGGACCAAGGCCTTTTTCTGGATGGACCTCAGCCTGTCCGTACTCCTGCGTTCCCTATGGGTATCCCAGACCCGTCGCCTGCTCAGCAGTCTGAACTTCGCACGTCCGCTTTGCTGCATGAGCGTGCCCGTCACTTTCTCTCTCTAGTGGCTGCACACGGTGGTCCAGTATCCTCTGGTTGGACCCCTCTGTCCAAGCCTGGCTCTCCGTCCATGCGCCCTACTGCTGCCACGTGGCTGCCTGTCAACACGGCTCCCGCCTGGGCATTCTGGTGCAACTTTGCCATGCTGTCCCCTGTTGCCTGCAAATGCCGGCATCCTCCGCGTTATCATCAGGACGCCGTAATCCGGATGGCTCCTTCGCCACGTGCCAAACAGCCTGCTACCCGGATGCTTTGGCTGCATCAATTGCCTCTTGCATTGCACCCTTCCGTCCGGAAGTTGCCCTCTCTGAGTGGCAGGCGTTTCCTCCTGCCTCATTCATCTGGCCGATTACATCGGCCAGCGTCGAAGATGGAGCAGGTACATGCAGCTCCGCCTTCTGGGGCTCTCCCAACAAGCCGAATGCGCCCTGGAAGTTGCAGGCCTCCTGCCTGGTCTCCTTTCACATCTGGTTTCCTCTAGCAAGGAGTCCCCCATCTCTGACTCTGCACTGAAGCCATTTCTGTCTGACCTTCGCACATTCCTCCGCGTGGAAGACGACAGTGTCTGGGACAGACTACTTGCCGGACCCGGGCCAGCCGTTTAGGCTTAACCTCTAGCTCTGTCCTGTCCCGTGACCCAGACATGGACTTCTTCCAATTGTTGCACGAAGGCGTCCCCCTGGGCATAGACGAAGCCATTCCTCCCTGCACGGTGCTTTTCCCTCCTGACCCCCCTGCGGATTCTGTCCTGCCGCTTCAGCATTGTGACTCCGCCTGGAAGTCTGCCCTCGATCACGTGGACCTTGTCGACGGCCTTCTTGAGGCTGAAGATTCGCCCAGGCGGGGACTCTGCACTGCCGTCGGAAACTTGGGGTCGTTGTTTCTCCTGACCGACCTCCGCGGCTCGTTGTCGACAACTCTATCAGTGGGGTGACATCCAACACGGCACTTCCTGACAAAGCACCTAACCCTAACCTGTCGGACGTGTGCAGATGCCTACTGCTCTGTCCTTCGCACGAGCAGCTGGCTGCCCTGGTCTTAGATGTGTCCAAAGCACACCGCTGGATTCGCATCCGTCCGCAGGATCAGGGTCTCCTTTATTTTCGGCACAGGTCTGTCTTTGACATTGAATTTTGGGGCCCGTGCTTCTGGCTTCTACTGGAACCGCCTAGCTGGTCTACTCATCCCTCTGACACACCGCGCCACAGCACGCAGATTTATGTCGATGATCTCTTAGCATTGCTCCTTCGCTCTTCTGCCCCGTTGCTCACAGCAATACTGGTCATGCCTATGAGCTGGCGCAAGGCTGCCTTGTCCGCCCGTGTCACCTGGGTCCTGGATGGGATGGTCTTTCGACTTTGACTGCTTTACCGTCCAGCTTGATCCGGATAAGCTGTCTCGCCTCCTATCCATCCTCCGCCAGCTCCAGTCATCTCCCAAGTGCACCGTGATCGTGCTTGAGATGCTCTGGCTCTGCAACTTATTTTCGGCCCTCCGTCCTTCTCTGGCACCCTTGTACATCGACCAGCATACCCCTGTCCCCAACATGTGTGCGATTGCGCCTGAGATCCTCTGTGCGCATCCTTCTCTCCTGACCTCCGAGTCACCCGCCCTCTTCCGCTTGCGGCCATACCCGTGGGCTGCAAGCTCCTGCGTTATGCACACACACACACACACCGCTGACTTGCCCGAGGTCGTCTCCTCACGTCACGTCTGGGACCAGGTCTCTAACCCTCTTCGCCCGGGCCGCGAACTGTCTGCCGAGTCCCGCGAAGTTGTGAGCACGTGGACTGACATTGCTGCCTCCCCATGCCCGTTCGGTCCCTTTTTCTCCGTCCACTATTTGTCTGCGAGGCCTTCGCAGACGCATGCGCAGACGCTTCTCTTGCCGGCCTTGGAGGACACATTAGACTGCCTGACGGACGTCAGGCTTGCTTTGCATGCACCTTCACAGGTGCTCAGCTTGCAGACATGTTCCCGTGGTTCCCGTCCGATACCTCTCCGCAGCACTGCGTTGCCGTCTGGGAGATGTTAGTTCAGGTAGGCTCTGGACTCTGGCCGCTCTGCTCCCTGCCGGCCATGTCCCTATGCGCGTTGTCTTCCGTGCCGACAACTCCCCGTCTCAGTCGGCTGCCTGGAAGGGCCTATCTTTGGCCCGCGGCATGTGCCAATTCCTGCGTGCCTTTAACGTGTTGCATGAAACCGTCCGCATCTCTGTGCATCTGGATTCCGTTCCGGGTTTCCTCAACGACGCTGCCGATGCCCTCAGCAGAGGCGTCCCTCCCTCTTCCCTGAGCTTCCGGAATTCGGAGGTTATGTCTGTGCCATGGACTTCTTTTCCCTCTACACCTGCGTTGGAGTTCTTTCCGTCTGCGGACCTCATGTCCACCTGTCTTCCGTGCCGTAGCGAGCTCAAATTCTGATGGGCCTGTTCCCCGTTGGGTCGAGCTCTCTGCTCAAATTGGACTTGGATTTCCGGGCATCAGATTTTTTCCCGCAGCAGATTCAGGACCGGATGAACCCGTCCGTCCTGCTATCTGCCTGCAGCTCGTTTTGCCACCCGAGACAAAAAGGTGCGTCTGCTTCCGCGTGGCCTGAAGGGGCACTACTTTTTGTCCGTCTTAATGCTATGCGTAACGGACTAGTCTTGCACGAACGATCTTGAGCTGGATCATATGTGTTTGTGCTCAGACGCAACGGCAAGCATGCTTCATGTTGAAGCATCTTGGCTCGCAGGTGGAGCTTGCATCAACACTTTTTGGACTCCCACCGTCCTCCCCTTTCTCCTCCGTCTGCTTCACTCTGCCTGCTTCTGTGTTGCTCCGCGTGATCCACTGGACTTGGTCCGCGTTGAGCCTTCTTGCAGCATGCCGTCCGCTCCTCGTCATCCACTGCCCTTGGTCCGAGTCGAGCCTTTCCGTCTCCTGGTGATCCATTGGTTTTGGTCCCAGTTGAGACCTGTCTGTGTTTCTCCTGGTGATCCCCTGGACTTGGTCCCGGTCGAGTGCTCTAGGTAACTCCGTAGCTACCTCAGAGTAGTCTTCTGTCTGCTGCCCATCTCCATCCTAAGGATCGGATTTCCGGGCATCAGATTTTTCCCGCAGCAGATCCAGGACCGGATGAACCCGTCCGTCCTGCTATCTGCCTGCAGCTCGTTTTGCCACCCGAGACAAAAAGGTGCGTCTGTTTCCGCGTGGCCTGAAGGGGCACTACTTTTTGTCCGTCGCTATGCGTAACGGACTAATTAGTCATGCACGAACATGGATTAAGTTTGTACACAAACCCCCAAAGCAACACCATAACTGATAGCTGCTGGTGCTGACCGCTTCGAACAGAGGCTTACGCAGGTCAAAAAAAAATTCTGAATGACTATATGTTGCCGGTTAAAGTATCGGCGCATGTATTTTTGAAATATTCCCTGCTGAAGAATATTCCTCTGCCATAAAAACAAACCAGTCAAGCGGACCGCGGCGCTTGCGTGGTAAATGTTTGTGCTGGTTTGGCGGAGACTTGATGCAGCGAATTTTTATTGCATAAACGCTTGTTTTCGTTGTGCTGATTTCGATTTTTCAAATTTCTCATGCCAACATGCCTGTGAGCTACATGTTTGAACATCAGAATCCTTGGTTTTTGGGCATGTGATGGGTTCAAACGTGGCTGAGTACGCGACTGAGAAATTTTGACCCACCCACCCGACCCATTTGGTTTCACTTTTATCCAAATTCGGTCTTTGAAAGGCCGGGGGTGTTTGGACCTGAGGCTGCGGTTGCTTCCCACGTGGGCTGACGTTGCCTACTTAGTGTTCACACCTCACACCTTACCTCGGCATGATTGCCCCTGTTCACGCAGCAAAAAGAGTGTGGTCAGTGACTCGCTTTTCAGCGTTCCTCATGTGCAGCTTTGAGTTGATAATATATATATGTGGATGTTATATTTCTGAATGATTATATGTTGCCGGTTAACGTATCGGCGCAGGTATTTTTGAAATATTCCCTGCTGAAGAATATTCCTTTGCCATAAAAACAAACCAGTCAAACGATCATGTATGCAGCTTGAAAGGGTTAGGGTTGAGGGATCGTGGGCCTCCAATGTTGGCAGGAATACCCACATGATGATACATGGGCACTCGTCGCTGCCAGAGTCCCTATACGCCATCAAAATGCGAGGATGCATATTGCAATGACCAAATGAGAAACAGAAAGAAGTCTCCTTGTATGTTTCGCCTTCTGTGCAAGCTTGTTCCATCAGAGTCGCTTTGTGGATCAAGGGACATGTAGACGAACTTTTTGGCATGTGCACTCTGACAACCCGTGTAAGGCATTGGTTGGGTCCTTGTTGGTTCTGTTTTGTGATATTTCTTGTTACAATAAAGCTCAGCAAAGAATACACAACTTGTTTTGACACAATTTTTTGGACAGAATTTCACAAACCAAGACTGAATTCAAAACCCAAGGTCTCGCAATGTTTACTGTTCAGGGTTTATAAGTTTAGGGTTCAAGGCTTTGTGGATGCGTAACGTCTACAGCCGTAGCTTAGCATCCCCGAAGACGTTTACGGCTGATTCCTTTGTGTCTTGTAACGTGATCCTCTCTGGCCGCCAAAACTGATGGGCTAAGCGGAGGCTCGGCTCTATTGTGCAGCTGTGAAAGCCTCACAATCGTTGCGATCTGAACATGATCTTTGATAATGACCCGGACAATCTTCACGTCTCCGTTGAGGTACTCCCTGTTAAAGTCGAGGGCTTCAAAAAGTGGGTTCAAGGTTTAATCGGCTTGGAGGTTTAGGTTCGGAAATGATTCCTTTCATCTTCCGGGACCGCCATTGAATCATTATTGGTAGCCGGGTAACTGGCTTGCTGCGAAGTTACAGAAGTTCTTTTCAGGAACCTGAGGCCTCCAAATTTTCATGACTGGGTGCATGACCGGTAAGGGCAAGCGATTGCAACCTCATTGTGACTCCGTCAAGCAGTTAGCGTCTTGTTTTGGGTTGGTGCAATTAACGTCTGGCAACAAGTTTTTTTTTGATGATGGTGGTAATGATGACGATGTACCTGGACCCAGGCTACTTCAAGCCGTTGAGGAAATTGAAGTGCCAAACCCTCAACCTTGCATGGGGTCGACGGAGGTGATTGTATTTGCCATGCTTTAGGGGACATTTGGCCTATTGAAGCATGTGGGGTAGTCTTGCAGCAGACCAAACCTCGAATTTTACGACAGATCTCTGCACGTTGAACACGGGACCCAAACCTAAGCTTCCTGATGCTCTCAGGCGAATCGCACTGCGGTTTGGGTGACATGGTCGCCTAACGTCTCACATCCTTTCTGCAAGACTGGCTAGCAGTCAGCAGGCAGCATCATTCCCACTGCTCCTGGTTGACTACCCAGAGGAAAAACACCACTGACAACCGAAACCCTAAACTGACAACTTTTAGACTCCCCAATGTAGTGTTCATGTCCATAGGGGAGTCTTGACAAAGCAATTATTTCAGGATGCTGGGTGCACAGTTAAGCTTCCAGCAGCAACAGAAACCTTCACGTTGGCTGTTCTACCCAGAACGAGGACCTTTTGAAAGATGGGGTTCTACATGCGTTGGGTATGTCAACAAGGTGGCATTCTCCACGATGGAATGCAAACTTGCAGAATCTGGCATAAAGAGGTGGCCTTGCTGCGTTTACCTAGAGCATTGATGGGATTTCTTCAGAAGTGGGGTTTTGAAGCCCCAAACCCTAAACGGTCCTCGAGATTTTGTGGATCCTGCGGATGAGCACAGCACAGAAGGCATACCCTGCAATTTGAATGGTGGAGAATCAAAACGGAAGAGAACGTGGCAAATGAGACGGAAACTGGATGTATGTTTTTTTGGGTAGAATTGCATGCAAGTTTTCGCAAGACCGTCAGGAGTGGCACGACCTGGTGCAGCAAAATGAAGGCAGG